TTAGCTTCACTATCAGTCAAAACAAATCTCTGAGAGAAAAACTCAATTATGATACAGGAAATTTACTGTCCTCCACACTTGTTAGGACAAAAAACTTAAAAATTTGAAAACTTAAGACTCATTAGAGATTAATATTTGAAATAAAAATGTATTATACATAAATTCTGGTGTCCCTAATAGTATATGATACAATCAAATTTAGATTAAGAAAAAGTATCTAGAAGCAAGACATTTAAAATATGAAGGAAATAAAAGTGCTCATAGCATTATTTAGGCATCATGCTAACATTCTAACTTTGTAGCCAAAATGGTCCAATATCAATATAAGCTGCCACTTACTCAAATGAAATTCCAGCATACATTTAAGAGTAGAGAATTAGCTGTAAAACTGAAATAGTGTCAGGTTGTCTTCTATCCTTATGCTTCTGATTAACAACTATATGAAAAATAAAATAAAAAGTACCAGTTTAAGAGAACTCACAGATAAGAAACTTTTTTTTTGGTAGAAACTTTTGTTCTCTCTCTCTCTCTCTCTCTCTCTCTCTCTCTCTCTCTCTCTCTCTCTCCTAGGTGTCATATTGTGTTTACCTAATTAATGCTAATTATGGGGCGTATAGTTCATCTTTCTCTCAGTTTGATAGAAGAGTAAAAAGTTCATGGAGAAGACAAGACTTTCTTGGCTCTAAAGTTTATCTTTTGAAGAATCAACATGTCTGCTCTCATATGGATGCATCAGGTTCCTTTCCTTATCTCATCCACATACAAGTGTTCACTGTACTTCATATACTGAAAAGCATGTCTCCACTACCAAGCCTTTGAAACGTATCTACTAAATATGTATTTTTATAACGTGTCCCAATTTGCTTTTAGATTCATTTATAATCATAGAGATTTTATTTAAAAGAGCCAATACTTATATATGAAGCTTATTAAGTATCTATGATTCATTTATCAAGAATTTCTGAGCATAATAGATGGAAATAAAAGCAAATTAATTACTGGGAAGTGGGCAAGGTAAATATAGAACATTATCAAGGCAGATATATGCTTAGAGAGATACCACAAGTTTAACAAGCCTCATGTAGGCCTTTAGCATTTAAACAGAACATTTTTGAGAACATAAAGGAATATAGTTTTAATGAGCAAGTTCTCAGGTAATTTTTAAGTTTAAAGGCCAGCCTGGTCTACGAGAGCTAGTTCCAGGACAGGCTCGAAAGCTACAGAGAAACCATGCAACAACAACAACAACAACAAAAGATGGTAAAATGGAAGTATTGTTTAAAAAAATTCCAATTCCATAAGATTGCTTTAAAGATAAGTTAAATATTTTAAAAATCTTGATAATTGTCATATTTCTCTCATCTGGTGAAATTATTTTAATCTAATCATTTTAGAAAATACATAATAACAAATTCTAAACTTCTTTTTGTCCCCCATATTCTATAAATGTTTTTGAACAAAACTAGAGTATGTATAATTCCTGATATTTATACATATTTTCAGAAATACTTACCACTGAAAATGCATCTGCCCATTAACAACACTCACATAAACATCCTTTGCAATGCTATACTAGATTACTGTCTTAATAGCTACATAGAATTTTGCAACCATTTAGCACTTAATCACAAGATACCTAAAGCAAAGTACAATTCTGTTCAACTACAATAGAGGGGAAACACTAAAGCACAAAAATGCTAAGTAATTTGTCCAACACCTGAGAAAAATTTACAGACAAAGCAGGAAATAACAGCTGGGATCAACTAATTATAGCTGACTGATAAACTGCAAATATGAAATAACCTGAAAAATTATACATAAAAACTCAACATTAAAACATTAACACTGAGAACAGAAAATAAACGTGAAGGACTTTAGTGCACAGCCTAAATTACAAAGAGGTATCATTTCAAATTCAAAGCAACCGACCCTACAGGGTTATAGATGTTAGTTCATAGGAACTTGAGAAAATAACAAAATACATTCAGTAAAATAATATGAAGATCCCAAGGCAATTAAGCTTTACAGGAAAATCTAAAACAAATACAATGAGAAATATCATGTCTATTGAGGCACTGAGAGATGTTTTGTATATGTCTGTTGGAGTGATGCACGTAAGTTTGCGTGTGGATGTTTGGATGTGTATACGCAGGTAAGCCAAGCATGAGTGCTGTTTGTCAGGAGATCTGCTGTCTACTTTGGTTTACATTTGTTTGTCTGTTTATTTATTTGAGACAATGTTTTGCACTGAGATCTGAAGTCCCGTGGTAAAGTTATAGCCACAGTAGGTCAGTGAGCTCCCAGATCTGCCTGTCTCTTCCTCCCTGTCAAAGGATTATATGCAAAATCCTGCACAACCCCACACCCAGCCTTTTTGAATATCACAAATCCAACTTAATTTTGCTATGTTAGTATGGCACATACTCTACTGATTTAGCTCCCTGCTCTTAAGTATATTTTTTATAAAAAATAAAGACATATTTAAAAGATCATTAATGAAGCCATGGCTCAATACCAATGATTACAAATAAATAAATATGTATTCAAATAATAAATTGAATATGCTAAAATTAGAGTTGAAAATAGAAAGTATGCATGATAAAAGTACAATATGATCACAAAAATGATTTTGCAGGCCTTTTCAAACAATAATGGTGACAATTATAAAATAAATGAGACGCCAGGCAAACTAACAAAGATTAGTATAAAATTAATTTACTAAGCAGATGGAATTCTTCATAAAAATTTCAATCCAAGAACAGTAGTGCCTAATCTGAACATATTTTATACAATAAAAATAACATTACAACTAAAAGCATTTGTGATATTACATCATACCCACCTTAATCTCAAAATATTAATGAAAACATCTTCACTGCTTCTTTATCAATTTCTGTTCCATAATTACAGGTAATTTATGCTCTCTTCTCTTAATAAGGTAAACCCAAAACAGCTACTTTTTCATCAATTCTACAATGACAAATATTTTTGCCTTCCAAGAGACTGACAAAATTTCAGATACTGCATATTGCAATAATGTGATTAGGAATAAAAAGTTTATAATAGAAAGTCATGAAATAAACAAGGCATATAGCTCAAAAATCTTATCAACTCTAGAAAAATATGAAACCTATTTTTTATTTTTATTCATTCATTCATTCATTTATTTTGGTTTTTTTTTTTTTTTTTTTTTTTTGAAGTTAGGGTTTCTCTGTGGCTTTGGACCCTGTCCTGGAACTAGCTCTTGTAGACTAGGCTGGTCTCGAACTCACAGAGATCCACCTGCCTCTGCCTCCCGAGTGCTGGGATTAAAGGCGTGCGCCACCATCGCCGGCTGAAACCTATTTTTTAAAAGACAACGTTTGGAACTGCACTAGAATAAAGTCGTTTTTGAAATAAAAATGGTTTTCATTTCTAATGTTAAATATATCCAAAAATAATACATCCCTGTAAAAATCTAGTGATCCTAAAGTAAATGCATCGGACCCAATGGAGTATCTCCAAGAGAAGGATAGGATAGTCTTGTGTATGGGTGCAAACAGCTGTGGGACAGTCACCAGCACTAAATCTTACACAATCTCAAGCTCATCCATCTCTTCCACCTTACCTCCAGCCCCCAGGGAAGTTACCTTTGCTTAAATTCTGTTAATTATATGAGGCTGCCATTTGAAAAAATGTTCATAGTAATATGTACACGCTATGTTGTATTTATGCTTAGGAGATCACTTTTGATAGTCTTCAAAAATTATAATAAGAAGACAAGTATTCCTGTGTATTTCTTAAACTTGGGAGAACTTAGCCATAAACGGAGTTAATCTTTACAAGTTCCTACAAGGAAATTATTCCTACAAGGTAAGGAATTGCTTCAAAGAAATATTAGCTAGTAACAGTTTCCTAATGTTTACTTTTTCAGTGGCATTTTTACTTTCTTCTATTCTTCATCAGTAAAAAGCAAAAAACAAAAAGCCTGATAACTTTCTATTTTATATTCAATTACTTATAATTTTGAATTAACACAAACAGAAATTATATTCTTAGTGACTGAAACACATGACAGCATTTTAAAAGTAAATACTAACTCATACAATACAAATATGTGTTTCATCAAATTTAAGTTCATTCTTTCTGAAATTTTACTTTCTTTTTCCCCAGTTAACTGAATATCGACTTGCTAAACACAGTTTCTGAAGGAACTCTGAAAACTCTCCCGTCCATACTGTATGACCCTTTGCATTGCTGTCCTTTGAAGAACTAATAACTCTGAATGAGCACCTTTTGCTTTCTACCCCGCACCACCACCACACTCAGCACTTTGCTAGTTCCTTCTTTTAGCCAAGGATGCAAATGGCTAACACGGGAAGTCTCTGAACCCTGAGTGGCCACTGAGCAGCACCAGCCGGAGCCGGGGTTCCTGGGAGGCATCATGTTCTACTTAAAAATTTTCAAAAGTATAAAACAAAATAAACAAAGAAGAAAATCAAACAAAAAATTCAAGTCTATCTAGGCCATCTTTTCACTTTTCTTTATTTCATAACAGAGAAGCATTTAACACATTTATTTTGGAAAGCAATAAGGAACTGCTAATTAAGTTGTTGCCAATCAAAGTCTGTAATAACCAATGTGAGAAAACTTCAACTTTTATGACACACTAAGAGACTTTAGAAACTCTCCAATCTGATGCGATAAAATAATCATCTTAGTCACAACAAACACTTTTGCAGCTTCTTTATATAAAGCATTACCAACTTATTCTCAAGAGAAAAGGAATTCTCTTGCTCAAAATTCATATTGTCAATCTGATTTATATCTAAGTCTGGAGCATAAGCAAGTATAGCAGATAAATAAAGTGTATACAATCTATTTCTGAAGCACCACTGTCACTAGGCAATATTTTATAAAAGATTGTTTGGTAATTATTTTGTACTATATCTGGTATTTTTTAAAAATGATGGACATTTGACGTTAGCCCCATAAAGACAAAGTCTCAGTGTTCGATTTACCTGACAAGATTCTCATTATCTCCAGTCCCTTTGCAGGTTGCACATTCAGTTCTTAGGTCTTCAGCCTTGGGCTTCTTTTGCAGCACAGATTGCCTCTGCCTTCTTTCTCTAGGAACTCTTTCCTGCCATGAGAAAACCAAAAAAACTCTTGAGTAGGATGAAAATGGAAAACACCCAAAGCAAGACAGTCTCCTCATGTTCAGACAAGTAAAGAGAACTAACTCATTCGAACCTCATGTTTTTCTTCCTCTGGAACAAAGCTTCGCTTTCGTCCTCTGGTTCTCTGGAAAGAAAACCCATAAAGATATTTAAGGTTTAAATCATGATAAACATAAATATTCTCTGTTAAGTTTTATGGCTTAAGTTATAGTTGGAAAACTGGTGTTTCTAACTGTTAGATTACTCAACTGCTTGTTGGTAAAATTGTGTCATTAATTATAACTTTTTAAAAAATACACAAATATTACATAGGAAAAGAAACTAATTTTCCAAAACTATTCTAAAGGGTTTTCTTCAACATTTCATATTTATATATATGATTTACTCAGAGCATTTAATTTTTAATATCTTGTCACAAATCACTTCTACAACTAAAACACTGAAACTGGAATAATATCATATCTATTATTTTCCCACATACGTGTCTACGCATACATGTTTGTGCAATAAAAAAATTCCCCAAGTAGTCATAAAAAAGGTGGAAAGCAGAAACTTCATAGTTCCCAACTCTCAGTTAAAATAAGACTAAAATGATTTAGCAAAACATTTATATTCTTTATTTTGGACTGTATTCATCATTTGAAAGAAAGCATTCCCATGTTTAAAAGTAATAGAAGCCTATCTGCAGCCAGTCTGGTTGGATTCTCCATCCTACACAGCACTGCCTCTGAAGACTGAAAATGCCCACCTGCGGACTACTAGGGGAGACGAGACAGGGGTGCCACCTAGATTTTACTATACAGTTGAGATTTAGAAAACATTCATTTCAATGTTAGATAGGTACCAAGTAATTCTGAATATGACTCTCTTCTAATATGCATCAGTGCATATTACAATATGTACCAATTTTCTAAACGCATCAGTGCTATCTTAACCTTCAGTTTTCAGAATATCCAGTCCCTTGCTAATTAGCACCATGTACAATCTCATATTGTCTACCTTCCCAACAGTAACCAAAAGCCAATTGAAGTCATTCAAGACAAGCTATGGAGCCATTTGTGTTGCCTGTTGGTCTGTCTCTTTTAAATACATTATTGAATAATTTAAGAAAAGATAATATTCTATCCAGGAAAGAGCTTCAAATGCAGGCCCTATTAAATAAGTTTTTCCTTCTTTTAAATAGGCAGCGTCTTGCTCCTCAAACAATCACCCACTGACCATACCTACTAATGTCCCACGGGCACCTGGTTAAAATGCAGAATTTGTATGCTCATTTCAGCACATTGAATTAGAGTCTTCCTTTTACCTTTATATGAAGTTATATAAACTTCCTTTATATGAAGTTATACATGTTAACTTTAAGGCCCTTGTTACAAAAAAGCTCTAAGTGTTGACAGTGACGTCGCCAGCCTTTACAGTTTATGATTACCTCTTGCATGCTTTCCCAGTGTTGACAGTGACGTCGCCGGCCTTTACAGTTTATGATTACATCTTGCATGCTTTTCCTTTCTTTCTACAACAGTTACTACTCAATTTCAAACTTGAAAGGACCATGTTCTGTTCACCTTTCTATACCCAACTAAACACAATACAATGTTTATTCTATCCAAAGACTCAGAAATTTTGTTTGAATAAAATAAATAATAAATGGGTCATTTAAAACTAATAAATGATTGCACTACAATATACGTAATACAAATACAACATTTTGCAAAAAGTTTCAACTATTTTTCACTTTTATGGTACTCATTTAATTATCACAACTTTCATATATAGGCCATTTCAGTAAGGTTTCAGAATGGTAAAGTCTATTAAAGAGAAAATATTTAAATTACTCATCTCAATTCCACAAACTTCTGTACACAATGCTCAAAAGTTTTCATAACACTTATTATGGTGAGAGGGGCAGCCAAGTAACTATAATTCATCTAGCTTTGAATGATTCTCTGAGCCAGTTAGATCACCTGGCTCTTGGTCCTGTCCACAGTATATTTACTTAGTAAAATGAGATAAAACAGACACCAAAACTATTTGAATGGTCCTGAATACCATAATCTAGTTTTCATTTTTAATCATTTTAGTAGACTGTTTTCCTAAACTAATGTTTAAAGATATTCACAGCTGGGCGGTGGTGGCACACGCCTTTAATCCCAGCACTCGGGAGGCAGAGGCAGGCGGATCTCTGTGAGTTCGAGACCAGCCTGGTCTACAGAGCTAGTTCCAGGACAGGCTCCAAAACCACAGAGAAACCCTGTCTCGAAAAAACAAAAAAACAAAACAAAACAAAAAAAGATATTCACCAAAAACATTACTCAAATTCTCAACACTGCAGTCTTAACATTATTAAGAGGCTAATTTGTACTTGAGTAAAACTAGCAAAAACACCAGTAGATTCTGGGATATGTCATTCTTTCTCAATTAAAGCCTACCACTGGCAGGGCAAACAGAACAATCATACATATAAAATGCAATAAATCCATTACTTTTTATGTTAGTTTAAATTTTTTTAACTAATAAAACAAATGAATACTATGTATCACCCCTTTGTTTAATAAATCACATGTGAAGAAGAATAAACATTAAATTTGCTAATTCCCCTCACCAAAACAATGACACAAAAGAAGCAGTGTTCTCTGGAAAACACTAGGACCAGTCAAGACTGTGAAAATGTACTGTGACTTCTGTATTCACTGTGTTTAAAAATACATTATTTAAATGCAAAATTTTACAAGTCATGGGAAATAAAAATCACAGGACTTCAAAGGAAGTAAAGCCGAAGCACGTGTGAAGTAAGACTAGGAAAGGACAGGTCTCAACGCCCTCGGGCACCAGATGCACAGAGCATAAAGAAATGAAAAACAAAATCAGAAAGCTTTCAAGCTACATTAAAGTTATTAGAAAACAAGCCCAAAAGTACAAATATCATTTTTAAAGTAACTTCAAAAGGCATGCGAACACTCTCATTTATTTGTTTCAAAAGCAATTTCTTTGCCTAAAAGGAAGACGATACTTTCCACATAAAAACAATGCAAAGAAAACATCTATGTAATATAGGCCTTGGAAGGAAGTGCTACCATGCTGTCTTTACAGTAAATTCACAGCATCATCCATGAAACAGAAACAGTAGGAAGGAGAATAGGACCATTCCCAGAATTTGAGTCCATGTGTCTACAAGTATCAAACTAGAAACTACAACAATAATTATGGGAAAAATTAAGGACAAATATGAAAATAGATTCACACATAATATACAGATCTTCTCAAGTTTCAACTAAAGTTGAATTCACAAGACTCTTCTCAAATATGTCATATTTTAATACCTTTTCTATGATCAAACTAGCATTTAAAAACTGCTATAAGAAAATCATTAAAACAATTTTTAAAAACAGATTTTGTGACATTTCAACAAGCATAAAACCCACAAGTTCAACACTGGTAAGGAAGGGATGTAATGAAGCATGTGAACAAAGCTGAGTTAAGGTTAGTTAGTTAGTTAGTTAGTTAGTTAGTTGAATAGCTTAACTTGGTTGAGTTACTGTGCTGACTGACTAGTTTTATATCAACTGGACACAAACCAGTCATTTGGGAAGAAGGACCTTCCACTGAAAAAGAATCTCAACAGACACGGGCAAGAATGTGGTGCATTTTCTTTGCTGATGTTTAAGGTGGAGACTTGGACATGCTAGGCAAGTACTTGACCAATAATCAGGATACGTAAGAAAAACTCTATTTTCAATGAAAGGGAAAAAGGAATATAAATAGAAATGTCATTTTAGAACTATGTCACACAGTAAAAAAAACAGAGATGAAATATTTTCTCTTAAAATATCAATAAGCAATAGGAACACAAATGTAAATCAACACTGGTAAGGAAGGGGTAAGATATTACTATATACTTAATGGCTATATTAAAGACAGATAATAACAAAGGCTAGAATATGAAATGAGACCTCATCAACTCCTAACAGAAAGATAATAACAAAGGCTAGAATATGAAATGAGACCTCATCTATTCCTAACAGAAAGATAATAACAAAGACTAGAATATGAAATGAGACCTCATCTACTCCTAATAGAAAGCAGAAGCATCCTGAGAACTAATAATATGGTTTATAACTTCTAGTAGGGCAGTCTTTAATCCCAGCACTTGGGAGGCATAGACAGGTAGATCTCTGTGAGTTCGAGGCCAGCCTGGTCTACAGAAGGAGTTCCAGGACAGGCACAAAGCTATAGAGAAATCCTGTCTCGAAAAATGAAAACAAACAAACAAACCAAAAAAAAAAAAAAAAAGAAAAAAAAACACCTTGTAGATAATATCTAAAAATGGGTCCTTGGTCCATCCAAAATCTATGAATATTCATGGTAACCTGACTTATACCAGCCAAAAAGCAAAACGTACCAAAATTTCCATCAACAGTTAAGTGAAACATATAAATGATTACAGAGGGAGAATTGTATAGTAATAGAAGGTAAAGTATAGATATATGCCAAAATATGAATAAATCTTGAAGGTGAAGGCACACTAATTTCAAGAAACTAATCTGTGGTTTACATAAAATTCCCAAAGAGACAAGTCTATATCAATTAGACCAGTAGCTGCACAGTTTGGGAGATTGCAAGAGAGAAAAGGCAGTCACTATTAAAACATACAGAATTCTGAAGAGTAAGATGATAAACGTGAGCCTGAAATTGTGGTAATAGATACATAACTCCACAAATGTACTAGAAACCACTGATTACATATATTTTAAATATATGAGTTAATGGCATTTGAATATTTCATTTGGTTCATTATTTTTTAAATCAGTCAAAACTAAACAGTAAACTGCTGTAAACATTAAAATATAATAAATTAATCTCCCATTACTGCTTAATGGCTAAATTTTATACTTAAGTCATATATATAAAAGCTAAAAGACCAGTTGCAAATCAATTATAAAATGAAGTAATTAAGGACTATAAAATCCATCTAATATCTCCTATCTTTTAACAGGAAAGCATTTCATAAGTATGAACTAACTACAACCCTATTAGAATTGCCATATATATATATATATGGCTTCAAGTAAAAATCATCAAGTGTTATCATAATTTCCCATTTGTTTCAAATGTTCAAACAAATATAAAGATATTCAGATATACTTGTTCCTATCGCTGCTTAAAGTAAAACAAGTCCAGTATCTCAGATTTCTACATAATTTTCTTGGGCTAAAATCTAAGTTTTGGAGAGTTTACAGTCTATTATAGAGATGCTGCGGGAACAATATAGGTTCTTTTTTCAACTTTTAGAGATCATCCATATTCCTTAGTCCATAATCCTCTTCCTCTACCATCAGGGGCAACACTGCTTCCCTTCTGAATCCTTGCCTGAATTCTTAGATTGATGGCAAAAATCCTACTATCTTTTCAGGTACTTATTTGTTTAGATTAGAGCAACACAATATTCCCAGTTAATCCCCACACCCCAAGGTCTACTAACAAAACCATATCTGTAAAAGCCCATTTCCCAAGGAAATATTTTCACAAGTTTTAACCACTATTCTTGAGTATCTTGAGGCAGGTGTGCATTTCTCTACCTAATAGACTACAGGACTCAAATGCAAAACTAAATGCATGGTTAAAGGTATCATCCCATATACAGAATGGGCATTTAGAATATAAGTGAGTAGGAAGAGTGCTTGCCTAACACAATAGAAAGTTCTCGGTTTAGTTCTCCACACCATATGAAATGAGGTATGGTGCTATGTCTGAACGTGGTCCAAGAATAGAGTCATGTGAGGAAATTCTGAGTGCTTGTGAGAAGACACCAAGAAAACAAGACAAAAATCTTGTCACCCCAGTTTCTTCAATAACACCAAATGTTCTTAGAATGTATTTTCATGCTTCTTCCAGGTGTAGCGGATAGGAGTGAGTTGACTTTAGATTACTCATTACAAAGGGCTACTGTTATTTTATATGCCTCTATGGGAAACATGTTTTTGCCACGTTCAGTTTGTCCATGAGATTTTGTACAGCTTAAACTTGTGAGAACTTTATGCACAAGATTCTTCTTAACCCTTGAAGTAGAAATTGTTTATTGCTCTGAATAAAGTTGACTGCTGCGTGAGCCTTTTTCCCACCTCACTGTTAGGCTCCATTCTCTAGCAGTAAGCAGTGGTGCACACTTGAGAGTTAAAAGCAGGAGGTTCAAAAGTTCAAGGACAGCTTTTTGAGATAGGAAACCCTGTTCTCAAAAATATTTGTAAATGGTGCAGTTAAAAGTGACTATCTATTAACAAAAATATTGTTTATATTTAAAAATATTTATATTATTCACATGAAGAAGATTCTATTTTTATAATCTGTTGTTGTTTCTCAAGACAGAGTTCCTCCTAATCCCAGCACTAGGGAGGCAGAGGCAGGTGGATCTCTGTGAGTTTGAGGCCAGCCTGGTCTACAAGAGCTAGTTCCCGGACAGGCTCCAAGGCCACAGAGAAACCCTGTCTCAAAAAAAAAAAAAAAAAAAAAAAAAGACAGGGCTTCTCTGTGTAACTACTCTGGCTGTCCTGAAACTCACAGAGATCCGCCTGCCTCTGCTTTCCAAGTGCTGGAACTAAAGATGTGGGCTACCCCCACCCAGGAGAACAAGATTCTTAAATACGGAAAAATCACACAAATTAATATAGGTAAGAATCCTACAGCAGTCATAGGGAAGTGCTACTTCTGGTTTAAATTTAGTAACAGAAAGTTATAACAAATTTCATTACATATTACAAATTAGAAATATCTTGTCAATACTCATTTAAAGCTAACTAGAATTACCATCTAGAGACACATATGCCTGGCTTTCACATTAACACTACTCAGAGGGACACCAAAGAAAATACCATCTTGGTATCAGAATATAGCATAAAAGGAAAAAGATCGCAGATCTCACATCTCTAATGCAAGTATTTGGGAAGCAGAGGCAGGCAGAGTTCCAGGACAGTCTAGTCTACATAGTCAGCTCCAGGACAGCCAACGCTACTTAGAGAGAGCCTGTATCAAAGAAAAGGAAAAAGAACAAAACAACAACAACAAAAAAAAAAAAAACTGGAAAATGAAATAGAGAGCAATATCTCACTTATTAAGTAAGTGACACAATAACCAAATGTATAAGAACAGTATTGTTTGTATTTCCACTGAATGTTCATGCAGAACACAAAGAGGACATGAGAAATTAATTCAGACTGCCGAGACTCCATTCCTTCTGTGCTTCTCACGCTTGTATTTGTGCTAGAATGGATAGTGTTCTCATGCTTTCATAGCTGTGCCCACTGTTTTACTACTCTCCAAACAGATGCATGAAAAAATATGCACAATCATGTGAATCAGTGCTAATGACTTTGGGCATCTGCTTATATGGTTTTAGTCTATAATATTTAATTTTCAAGGAATGAATATATAACTCTTTTGCCAATTCTTCCAGCTCACTGAAAATACTCTGAGGTCAAAATTTAAAGAATTTGTTTATAAAGCATTTCTCTTTATTATTACTAGGTGGATTGAGGATCTCTTTCAACATGCAACTGTTTTAAGTAAGAGTTCTGTGTGTGTTTTATATTTACATCAGTGGTATACATTTTCTCTACAGACCCATAAGGGCTGACCTGCACTTAAGACATCTAGGGGAGATATCTTTTACTTTTTTCTCTTGAGCCAAGACATACCTTTTTTCAAAAAATAAAAAAACTTTATCCTTGAGGGAGATATATACTTTTAGATTTAGTGTTCTTATTTGTATTGTTATATTTTAAGGACTGTTTTATTTTTGTTTTAATTTAAATTTGTTTCAAAGAGCCTTTACTATTTTAAAGTTAAGTTGCCTCAAAAATTCCACTAAAAAAAACCCCATATAACAAGACTTATTTTATTATTATTTAAAAAGTTATTTATTTGTTTGTTTGTTTATTGGTTGGCTGGTTGGTTTTTTGAGAGAGTTTCTGTGTAGCCTTGGATATCCTGGAACTCATTCTGTAGACCAGGTTGGCCTCCAACCTCCAGGAAGACCTATATTTTTGCTTTGTCTTTATATTTTGTGTGTGTGTGTGTGTGTGTGTGTGTATGTATGTGTGTGTGTTGTGTTGTGGTTCAGTCCTTTCCTTTCTTTCCATCTCATGAGTGCCAGGAATGAAATTTAACGAATTTCAAACAGTCTGCAACTCAGCAAATCTATACCTTCTTTAAATGCTCAATACCATACTGCAAGGGACATTTACAGAATTAGCTAAAACAAACATAATGCTATAGAAGGAAAAAGTTTGATTTCTCCATTCACACAAAACCCCCAACTTGGCAGACTAAAGTAAGTACTGTTCATGACTACACAGGTTTGAAATATAATGGCAAAGATTAGGGATGAGAGATCCAAAGCTGAGAAGAAAGGTAATCTGTTTACCTATGAGACTGCTGAGGCAAGCATAGGAGTCTAAGGCTTCAGTAATGTCCTACTTTTAAGTGGAATGTGAGATATACTGGTACTCGCTGGTAAGCTTTTACCTGAACCCACAAACTAGATTCTCAGCTAAATACAATATGCTACTGAATACTGATTTCTTAGAAACAAACAAGCACAATATGGACACCTGTTGGACTTCTGAGAGTATGTTTATGCCATAAATCCTTTATCTCTGTAAATTTTGCATCAGAATGTCACTAAGACCAATAAAGGAAGAATAAATACCGTGTTTCTTATAGGGATCTTCTTGGGTTCTGGTGGCACGTCCTGCGGAACAAATTTCACGGGCTCCTTAATCTGTCTCCTGGATCGTTTGGTTCCGTCTGGCAAGGTTTCCATGGCCATGTCTGCCTCCATGTCACTGCTCCCTGCCTGGTCACACTCTGAGCACTGCCTGAACAAAGTTTTGTTAAAATGAGGTCATACATTTATTATCTTCTGATTTTAGCAACAAATTCTATAAATACAAAAAGAATTTGCACACAAATACACACAGGTAGTATGATAATGACAACACACAGAAACACACCTCTACCCCTGCGAAAATGACTACCAGGAGTATATTATAGAAAACAATTCAATGTATCCATATATTACAAACACAAACGGAACAATGCTATTGTGAACCAAATAACTCATAGACCAGTGACTAAGAAGGCATCTTCTCTTTGGAAATGATGACCTTTTTTATGTGACATATACTAAATAATCTTTTATAGACTTTTATTCTTATATTCCTTTACCATTCCTTTTCATTGTATTTACTGACACAGTATGCTGAATATACCATTTTGGGAATAAAAAAACGAGATTTGTTGAGTTTGGGGAAGAGTAGGCATTTTACTTGGTAGATCAAGTAAAAACTGCATTGTCACTGAAGACCTTGAAATATTTATTCTGCCACATATATGTGCCCATTAAAACATTACAACCAAGCTGGGCATAGTGGTGCACACCTTTGATCCCAGCACTTGAGAAACAGAGGCAGGAGGATCTCTGAATGTTCGAAGCCACCCTGATCTACAGAGTTCTGGGACAGTCAGGGCTGTAACAGACAAACCCTGCCTTGAAAAAAACAAACAAAACAAACACAACACAATACCACCATCTATTAAAAGTAAAAGAATAAAAAAGTATATTTCCAAAACTTTGATTTGTGATATATATTTATGTGTTTATGTTTGTACCTTTGAATGTAACTTAAAATTTCAAACATCTCTAAACATTTTTTATCACATAATTAGCTCTCCATCAAAATTTGTATTTTTGATATACCAATACTACAGATTTACTATGAAGCTTATATTTATTTTCAAAACTGAAATATTTAAATTCTCGGCTCTACAACATAAACACAAAGTACCATTTGTTTTGCTGATACGATCATATTAACTGCTACAATGCAAAATAACCAGTGAGAAAAACAAAGCGTTATTCTGTAATGCATTACTTAGAAAATTTTTATGTGTTATGTTGCTAGGCAACTAAAAATGTTTTATAGACTAACAAATCAATAATAAACTAAAGTGCTTTTATACTTCTCTAAATAAAAACATCAATAACTGATAATGGTACTATATAAATACCTTACATGACTCCAGAATTTAAATAGTGGATATATTCTAAGAGGAAAATAAAATTATAAAAAACTGTGAAATGCTAAGGTTTTGTTTTTGTTTTTAATAATAATATACCACAGCCTTTTAAGTAAATAAGTCTACAAACAACATCAAATTATGTCTCAAATGGATCATTTTTTCTACTTTATATCTCTAAATTATACAAACTAATAACAAATTGATCATTTTCATCGGATCACTGAAATGTCAAAGTTTCTCAAGCATTCCAACCATGTGTGTGTGTGTGTGTGTGTGTGTGTGTGTGTGGGTGCGCACACGCGCACATGTGCTAGCACCCACAAGGACACATACAGGCAGTGACCTGTACTCGTGGAGAGCAGAGGACAGCCTGAGGGTTGATCCTTAGGGCTTCTATTGGCTTTCAGCTTACTGATTAGGATATACAGTGTGCCCAGCAAGCCCTGAAGATTTACAGTCTCTGCCTGAGCAGTATTGAGATTTCAACCATGCACCAACATCAAATCTGGCTCATATGGCTTAGGAATATCAAACTCAGGTCAGCAGACTTGCACAGTAAGCACTGTAGAAACTGAGCCTTTCCCGTCACCCATATTAACTGTAAAATACATACGTCCCTATAATAGGAAAACAGGTACAAAAGTGTGTAATCAGGTTTGTACATGAAAACATGTCATTTTATTTCTGTTTCTGTAACGACTACTCATCATTACAACATTCTGTTATGCTCATTCTCAAACCCACTAAAAACTGTGACAAATTAATTTGTTCTAGAAGATTCAGACAAAAAAATGTCATGCTGTGAAACTCCAACACATCAAAAAATCTCAAAATGTCATGAAAATTTTGTAGCTGACAATACAGAACATGTATTCCAATTTTAAGGCAGTTGCCATGAGTCATGCCATATACACCTAACACAGATGGACAGCTTTTCCTTGTGACAATATAGTAGACACTGCATTCTACACCGTCAAAAACCCTTTAAGATATCTACGTAACAGTCTCGTATAAAATTCACAGCATATCCAATTCAATGAGATCACAGAACATTTGGAATGTCATGATTATCCTGGAATGTCAAAGGCATGGACATGAATTCATTTAATAATCTATGGCAATACTATGATACACAAGCATATTAATCAAACTCATCTTATCATCTATATATTTACTTAATACATACATTCTATCAGAGATAGGTCCTACAGTTTGTAATTCCTGTGCAAAAAAAAACAATCTTAGGCTCCTGGGAGCCACTCTAGGTTCAAGTCTCTTGCCAATCCCTTAACTAAGATATGTGCTTCCCTGCTCCCCTATCCAACCTTCCTTTATCCCAATCATCCTGTTTCCCCAAGTTCCCCCAATCTTCCCCTTCTCACTTTTCTCTCCCCGTCCCCCCCTTATCACCAACCCACCCCACCCCCAAGATCCCAATTTTCTCCCCGGCAATTCTGTCTACTTCCCATAGCCAAGAGGATAACTATATGTTTTTCCTTGGGTTCACCTTCTTATTTAGCTTCTTTAGGTTCACCAGGTATACACTCCGTGACCTTTATTTATGGCTAGAAACCAATTATGAGTGAGTACATCCCATGTTCATCTTTTTGGGTCTGGGTTACCTCGCTCAGGATAGTGTTTTCTATTTCCATCCATTTGCATGCAAAATTCGAGAAGTCATTGTTTTTTACCGCAGCATAGTACTCTAATGTGTATATATTCCACACTTTCTTCATCCATTCTTCCATTGAAGGGCATCTAGGTTGTTTCCAGGTTCTGGCTATTACAAATAATACTGCTATGAACATAGTTGAA